ACTCTTGCCTGGAAAACCCCATGGACAGAGGAACCTGGTAGGCTGCAGTCCATGGGGTTGCTAAGAGTTGGACATGACTGAGCAACTTCACTTTCATTTTCCACTTTCATGCATTGGAGAAGGAAATGGCAACCCACTCTAGTGTTCTTGCCTGGAGAATCCCAGGGACGGCAGAGCCTGGTGGACTGACATCTCTGGGGTCGCACAGAGTCAGACACGACTGAAGCCACTTGGCAGCAGCAGCAACGTGGAGAATTCCAGGGACAGAGGAGGTTTGTGGGTTCCATGGGGTCACAAACAGTTGAACACGACTGAGTGGCTAACACTTTTAGACCTTCAGATGGTCCAAGCAGAAGAGGACCTCCCCCAAAAAATGTTCAATTTTTTCTCTTTATGAACCAGTTTTTAGAATAAGGAATTGCTCCCTATCATACTCCAAAGATAACTAATGAGGTTTGTTTTGTTCTGTCTTCTGTCATTAAAAGTGATGAATTTTGTTTTAGTTATTATTTTCTTTTTTGTTGGGGGGAAGGAGACTAGCCAGAAGATACAAGTGTACTGTTTCCTTGTCTGTGTCTCCCGGGAGCCAGTGTCTATGAGTGAATCCTAGACCCATTCGCTCTTAAATCTATAGATTCATCACTGGTTTCAGCGCCCTTTATAATAAGGGAGGAGACAGAGGGCCAGACAGAGTGCCACTCTGCCAGACAGAGTGATCTGGCATTTGCCAGAATAACTCACTTGGCCAGTAGCAGGCTCCAGGTGAGATTCCCAAGTCCATGCTACAAATGCACATTTTGGGACTCCACCCCCGGAATAAGGTTACTTTTTCTAGCCAAGTGTCATTAGAAGCTTTCCAGGTCTTAATAAACATCAGTCTAAGAGTCATAGTAAATAGAATACCTGAAAACATAAAAAAAAAAATTCCTAGCATAAATATGAACACTAAAAATCACATTGTACCTAAGAAAATCAAGAAATTATCCAGTGGATGAAAGGAACTCCTGCAAATCAATAAGAAAAGAAAAGAAGTCTTGTCCAACTCTTAGTCGTGCCCAACTGGAAATTGGGCAAACGCCCTGAACTGACATTTCACAAAAGCAGCTATCAAAACGACCAATACACATATGAAAGAGTGCTCAACATTTTAGTCATCAAGTAAATGCAGATTAAAAGCATAATGTGATACCACTACTCACCCACCAGAGATAACAAAGAACAAAAATTAACAAAAGACAGCCACCAGGATTCTCATCAGCTACTGTTGAGAAGATCTCCTGGAGGAGGGCATGGCCACCCACCCCAGTATTTCTTCCGGGAGAATCCCATGGACAGAGGAGCCTGGCAGGCTGCAGACATAGGGTCACAAAGAGTCGGACAGGACTGAAATGGCTTAACACAGACACACACAAAGTTGAGAGTGTAAACTGGTACAACCGTTTGGAAAACTAGTTAGCAGTACCTATTATGTGCTTGTCCTATGACATAGCAATTTCACTCTTAAATATCATATCAAAAGATATGGTCAAGAATGTTCATTAGGGGCTTCTCTGGTGGCTCAGTGGTAAATAATTCACCTGAAAATCTAGGAGACACGGGTTTGATCCCTGATCCAGGAGATGCCACAGGCGTTGGAGTAACAAAGCCTGTTCACCATATGGGACCCACAACTCTCGAAGCCCAGGAGCCCTGGGGCCCGTGTTCCACAGCAAGAGAAGCCGCCACAATGAGAAGCCCGCGCACTGCAAGTAGAGAACAGCCCTTGCTTGCCACAACTAGAGGAAAAGCTCTCGCAGCAGTGAAGATCTGGCATAGTCAAAAATAAATACATAAAATTACATATCTATATAAAAGAACGCTCATTAGAAGCAGGGTTGATAGTAGTCAAAACCCCAAAACTAGCAAAATGGCCATGGACAATGGGATGGATCGATACATTGTACAGCTTCACAATTTACTACTCTGCAGCGGAGTGAACATAGATGGTCAGAAACATCAAGTTAAATGAAAGACCCCAGCCACAAAAGAGCACATATTGTATCATTTCATTTACTTACAAGTCAAGGCCACCCTAAACTAATCTACATTAGAAGACAAGATACCAGAGCTTTTTCAAATCCTAAAAAATGAGGCTGTTAAAATGACCTGGAAGAAAGGCAGTGACTTGAAGACTTAGGGGTTTTCAGTACTATTCTGTTTCCTTATGAGTACTAGTTATACAAGTATGTTATGTTTGTGAACATTCAGCTAGGTGACATTTATGTGCATTTCTCTGAATACATATTACACCTTAAAGGTTAAAAATAAAAAAATGAAAGTCAGCTAAGTCTCCAGCTTGTCATTTCCAGCCTATTTCCTTCCATTACCAATTCCCTTGATGTTTTATAAGTTGACTTTCAGTATTAAAATACTTGCTCTGTTTTACCAAGTGGTGGGTGGTTGATGTGATTTCTCTATAGTTTGTAGAGTGGTTTTGGAAGTACAGTGCAAACGTTAGTTTTAAGCACAGTATATTTTTCTCATAGAGATCACGCTATAAACCACAGTGCTTTTACTTAGCTTTATTTTACCTGTGTAGCTCAACACTTGGAAGCACCCACACTTTCAGTTGCAGATTATACCACAATTGATTCCTAGGCAGATTACAGCTATTAAGAGACATTAAGGCAATAATCAGATAAAGTCTTCATTGTTGATCCTGAAATATTGTCTGAAATACTGAAATTCTGAGATCTGCTGTCCTTTTTCATACTATTTCCCAGTAGTGGTCTATGTTTAGTAGAAATGGAATAAAAATCATTTTTATCAGGTTTTAATCAAAGTCATTCTGGAGTCCAAACTCCAGCTTCCTGCACAGGAGCCCTCAAGTCTTTCCTCCAATCAGAGCTTTTCTCAGCATTGCAACTTCCCCTCTAAATAAAAGCAAAAGAGTCCTGCATAAATACAGACAGAGGTTGGTTTAACACTGAGAATAATCACATTATCTCTAAAAGCTGCATTCTTTTGTTCAGATTAATGGAGTTGGTGGGCTATGCAAAGCCATAAAAAAACCTAAAAGAAAATAAAAACATTAAAGTTATGAAACGATGAGTTAGTGGTTAGATATTCACCCATCAAAACAAACACACACACAGCAAAGGGAATGCATCAAGCAGTTGATCGCTTTATTGTTAAGTTGAGAATTGCACTCGTTTCACATTCAGAAGGTTATGCTCAAAATCCTTCAGGTTAGGCTTCAGCAGTAAGTGAACAGAGAACTTCCAGATGTACAGCTGGGTTTAGAAAAGGCAGAGGAACCAGAGATCAAATTGCCAACATTCACTAGATCATAGAGAAAGCAAGGGCATTCCACAAAAACATCTACTTCTGTGAGCCAGACATCTTGGAGTGCAAAGTCAAGTCGACCTTAGGAGGAATCACTGTGAACAAAGCTGTTGGCAGTGATGGAATTCCAGCTGAGCTATTTCAAATCCTTAAAAATGATGCTGTTAAAGTACTGCACTCAATATGCCAGCAAATTTGGAAAACTCAGCAGTGGCCACAGGACTGGAAAAGGTCAGTTTTCATTCCAATCCCAAAGAAAGGCAATGCCAAAGAAAGCTCAAACTACCGCACAATTGCACTCATTTGTCAAGCTAGTAAAGTAATGCTCAAAATTCTCCAAGCCAGGCTTCAACAGTATGTGAACCATGAACTTCCAGATGTTCAAGCTGGATTTAGAAAAGGCAGAGGAACCAGAGATCAAATAACCAACATCCAGTTGGATCACAGAAAAAGCAAGAGAATTCCAGAAGAACATCTACTTCTGATTCACTGACTATGCTAAAGCCTTTGACTGTGTGGATCACAAATAACTATAGAAAATCCTTAAAGAGATGGCAATACCAGACCACCTTACCTGTCTCCTGAGACACCTGTATGCAGGACAAGAAGCAACAGTTAGAACGAGACATGAAACAACTGATGGTTCAAAATTAGGAAAAGAGTATGACAAGGATGCACATTGTCATCCTGCTTATTTAATTTATATACAGAGTATATAACTTATATACTTATAAGTTATGTTATACTTATAAATTATAAGTTANGGGCCTGGTGCACTGGGAAGACCCAGAGGGATCGGGTGGAGAGGGAGGTGGGAGGGGGGATCGGGATGGGGAATACATGTATATCCATGGCTGATTCATGTCAATGTATGACAAAACCCACTGAAATGCTGTGAAGTAATTAGCCTCCAACTAATAAAAATAAATAAAAATTAATTAATTAATTAATTTAAAATGAATTGTAAAAAAAAAGATTGCTGGGAGAAATATTCAACAACCTCAAGTATGCAGATGATACCACTCTAATGGCAGAAAGCGAAGAACTAAAGATCCTCTTGATGAGGGCAAAGAAGAGAGTGAAAAAGCTGGCCTGAAACAACATTAAAAAACTAAAATCATAGCATCTGGTCCCATTACATTATGGCAAATAGATGGGGGAGAAATGGAAGCAGTGACAGATTTTCTTTCCTTGGGTTCAAAAATCACCTCCGACGGTGACTGCAGTCATGGAATTGATAAGACACTGGCTTCTTGGAAGGAAAGCTATGACAAACCTAGACAGCGAATTAAAGAGCATAGACATCACTTTGCCGATAAAAGTCCGTATAATCAAAGCTATGGCTTTTCCAGTAGTCATATACAGATGTGAGAGTTGGAAATAAGGCTGAGCACCATGGAATTTATGCTTTCAAACTGTGGTGCTGGAGAAGACTCATAGCATCATAGCAACCATAAATAAGGCTGAGCATCATGGAATTGATGCTTTTGAACTGTGGTGCTGGAGAAGACTCTTGAGAGTCCCTTGGACTGCAAGGAGATCAAATCAGTCAATCCTAAAGGAAATCAGTCCTGAGTATTCATTGGAAGGACTGATGCTGAAGCTGAAACTCCAATACTTTGGCTACCTAATGCAAAGAGCTGACTCATTGGAAAAGACCCTGATGCTGGGANAATTTCTGAAAATAAAACTGAAAAAGGCTAAACCATGCCTTTGATGAGTCCCAAAAGACCACAGATCCATCTCCTATTCGAAGAATTAGTCCCCTGGAGAGTTCTAGCCTCTGTAGAGCAATTGATAACAAGATATACCAAGGCTCCGAACAACTGACTGCATGAAGAACACCTTCGTTTGCTCTCACTTCCGATTCTCTGGACCACCCAGTCCTGCTGGCAGAGCAGGCAGCGATTGTTCTGTTTCACCCACAAGGACATGCAGCAGTTGTGGAAGGAATGATTACATTCTCCCCAGACAACAACACAAACCTCCTGTTTGTTTTCAGCTTGACATCCAAGACAGGCATCCATCACCTGGACCCTGCAGATGGCGCACATATCGCACTCCACGTCCCAGCTCCACATGGCCGCAGCGTTCCACTTCTTGAGAGACAACATTTTGTCGCCGCCCGACTTGAATCCTGAGCTCCCCGAGTGAGACGACAGGGCGCAGGGTTCCTCACCGTCTTCCAGGTCGGCCATAGCGGCGGCGGAGACGTTGGGTCGTCAAAGTGATTATTTAAAAAGAAAAAACGCTTTAAGTAGACAGCTCATCTGATTGAAGTATCCTCAAAATGGAAGAGCTGACACTTAAGGAAACTGAGGCTAGCTTTATTTTCTGAAGAAAATTCAATTCACTTCTTTTTTCCAGTTTGGTAGCCAAAGGGTTAAAGATGGGGACCACTTTTTTAGCTGTTACTATAGTCAGGCTCCCATTCAATCTAAATATAGCCATTGCTTTGCACCATTTTTAACCCTACAAAGCTGAGATTCCTGTCTATCCAAATTAAGGATAAGCTTAAATAGCCTAGCCTCAGTTGAAACCATGGCAACCAGTACACAGTACACATCCTGCATCTTGCCCGGTAGTCCTTAAAATTCTTTAATCACAAGACAGGAAATCTGTTTTGTTTGGTAGTCCCTAGACAGATTCACACTATAGGAGGGTCAACCATCTGCTTTTATTTAGGGGGAAGAATGGATTTATTATAGGATAAGCTTTAAAATTAGGGAGAGACAGAGTGGTTTTTATTTGTTTATTTATTTACTTACTTACTGCCTTATTTAAAAAAAAAGACCTAGGGAAGTCCCAGAACTTCCAAAATGGGAAGTGGAGAAACTGAGAAGAAAGACTGGAGTGTGGGCTTTCTACAGTTATGGTCATGTAAACCCCTGGTCTGGCAGTTAGCTAAATAATAAAAACAAAATTCAGTTGCACAGTGACACTCCCAAGCAGCATAATTAACTTGTGAAACATGAAGGGATATTTATTTTTCTGACTTTTGTTTCAAACTGAAATTAGCTTTACGATTTTTTTCTGATTGCAAAGTCAGTCAACACATGTTCAAGTAGACAACCCATGCATTTTAGAACGGAAGAAAGTAAGAAGTAGCCCAGGTCACCCAGAGGTAACTGTTTAAAACTGCTGACCCTCCTCCAACCTCCCTCTGTGCGGGGACACATGCATGCCTTAATAAATGTTTATAAATAAAGATATTCTGGATGATATTTTGTGACCTGCTTTCTGGCTCAATTCATCATGAAGATCTCTCCATACCGATTAGTATAGATTTGTTATATATTCCCACAGAGATACACCCAGATTAATTTAACTAATACCCTAGTTAGGAGTATTTAGTATGTCCAGCATTTTTTTATTATGAGTAACACTGCAATGAAAACTGTTTACATAAATCTTTGTGCTACTGATCAGTTATCTCCGCAGGATAAATTTCCAGATGTGAGAGTGCTAAGTCAAAGGGTATATATATATGTTTAAATATTTGGTCCATATCATGGGCACTGCACCCTGGAAATTGTATACATAAACAAGGCATTCGTGTAAAGCTTCTCTATACCCTCACCAATATTGGATATCTCATTCTTTATCTTTTCCTATCTAATAGGCAAGATGTTATTACATTTTGATAACAGCTCTTCTCTCATCAATTCATAAATCAAGGAAAAGGAAAAATATAATTCAAATTCAGTGTGATAATTGCTGAGATGATTTTGAAAGGTTCTTCCAGTTTAAACACCCTATAATTCTACAAAATGTCTTCAATTAACTTCTCTATTAAGAATCTATCATAAGCAAGAACCCAGGGGAGGAGAAGCTAACTGAGGGCACCTAATGTGTATGAAAACAACCCTTGGAGATCCTTGTTTTAGTGCTCATTTTATAGAGTAAAAATATGGCGGTTCAGAGAAAGTTAAATAAATGTAGAATCAGAGCAAGTAATCTGATTAGAAAGCTGAGGGCTTTTTCTGGAACCATGCCGTGTATTATTGGGGTTCCTGTCCTTCAGGAATATACAGTCTATGCTGAGGCAGGGGTGGGAAGTGTAGGAGAGACTATCTTCACATAAAAAGGATTTCAAGTCACATCTCCTGATAACTCAGGTCAAGCCCCTTTCCTCCTCCACCCACCCCAATCACCACCTTGTGTCCCTCCCTTAGTGCTCAAAGTGGCGCTTTGTGGATCATAGATGCTCAGCAAATAAAGTCCATGCCCCTCCCCACCTGCCTGCCTATTTGTCCAGGAGGGTTCTCACTGTAGACGGGGAGGTTCTACCATATGATAGTTGCCTGGCAGCTAAAAGCTCTTAGTCTTGGATTGGTTGTAACTGCTAACTGGTAGCCTCTCCTCAGCCCCCTACCCAGCCTGATCAGGCTTGGAGCCATAAGCCCAGAGAAACAGAGTGAGATCCAGAGACACAGCTACAGTCGGCTCCAAGGCACAAGTGAGCCACGCGGTACCCTCTCAACGTTCTGCCTTTACTTTTCTGTTTATTCTGATTAAATTATTATATCTTATACTTTTGACATTTTCTCCCTAGCCCTTTGACATTCTTACAGTGTCTTTAGGCTTTACCTAAAGGCAAGATTATCGTAATTACCACTAGCCATGGGTAACTCACATTTTCTATCACATTTTCTACAGCTCAATGTTAATTCAGAATGACACATCTCAACCACCATTACTCTAGCTTAGTTACTAGTTCTGAGAGCTAACAAAGAATATGAGCAACAGCTGAGGGCCAAAACGTTACTGAATTCTGACTAGTTATGTTCACTTGTGGTCAACAGGTCCAAAAGTCAGTGACTGATGCCCTCACGATGGTCTGGGATCCTGACTCTTCATAACCATTCTTGCAAAGAAATCACATATCACATAGTGTGAAATAGCTTTTTAATTTGTGCAAACATAGGACAAGCTGCAATTCAACTGTTTCTGCAGATTAAATATCCTCAAGCAACAGCTGGAAAGAGATACACATTTCCATTGCAAGTTCACAGAAACCTCACCTAGTGTATACAGCTGGGCTGTATTTCCAGACAGTGACTAAATGTTCCATATTCCTTGGGTAAGCTGCAGAAATGTTGATTTTGATCACTTCCTATGGTTTTTCTAGGTTCTTGGATATGACCAGCCTTCCTTGGTGAGTGGTGGACCCCCCTTTAAGATTAGCCTTTCTATGTGAGAGAGAGCACCATTTAATAAGGACACACAATGATAGCCCATTCCCAGGAATAAAAGTGGGCCTATTATATTTGCTGCAATAGACACATGCTCTCCTTTCTAATTTGCCTTCTTTTCCCCCCAAACAAAAGTGTTATTATTCAACAACAAAGGGTCTGACAAAACGCCACAGAACTCATACAGAGCGACATAAAAGCAGGAGATGATGAATGTTAAGTGCATTCCGGCTTGATTTATTTTAAAGAGATCACTTCTAAGAAACACTTGGGATCAGTACTTGGGGTATTAGAGATGCGTCCTGACAGCTGGGGTTTGTCGAAACATGGGTGGCTTTGTTCTCTTTCACGTCTGTTTATTCCCATGCGTTTGTTGTCAGTCACTGCTCGGGGGAGAGCAAACCAGAAGATGACACAAGAGAGCAGCAGCTAGGAGGTGAGACATTCTCTCTGGCTAGTGTGGAGGAGGGTGGATCGGCTGCCCAAAGTTCCGTTGCTATGATCATTTCAGCCAGTACAGCCTGCCCTGCAAATGACTTCCTGTTTGGGCGCCGATATACAAGTGTGGGTCTTCCCTGCTGGTCCAAACGTTAAGAATCCCTCTGCTAATGCAGGGGATACAGGTTTGATCCCCAGTTCAGGAAGATTCCACGTGCCTCGGGGCAACTGAGCCCGAGCGCCACAGCTGCTGAGGCCCACATGCCCTGAAGCCCATGTTCAGCAACAAGAGAAGCCTCCTTAACCGGAAGCTCGCTTGCCGCAACTAGACAAAGACCCAGCGCAACCAAAAGAAGTAGATATTAAAGAACATACATCCAAGTGTACGACCAAATCCGTAACCTCTTCCTCCTGGACACAGAGCGAGACTCGGCCTCTCAGCCTCCCTTGAGAACCGGATGGAGTATGAACGGAAGCGGTGAGGGCCACTTCCGGTCCTGGCCCATAAAATGTTCCATGGGTAATCCTCCTCTCCCTTCTCTCATCTGCCAGCCGGAAAGCCATGCCCAAGTCACCATGAGATCACGTGGGAAAAATGGTGACCTCCCCCCCTCCAGAAGTCAGAGCCTTGAATAATTGTTTGAAGAGCAGCTGGCTAACACCAAGATCCCTGTCAATTGGAATTTACAAAAAGGAAATATAAACGTCTATAATATCAGTTCAGTTCAGTCACTCAGTCATGTCTGATTCTTTGCGACCCCATGGACTGCTGCATGCCACGCCTACCTGTCCATCACCAACTCCCGGAGTTTACCCAAACTCATGTCCATCAAGTCGGTGATGCCATCCAACCATGTCATCCTTTGTCATCCCCTTCTCCTGCCTTCAATCTTTCCGAGCATCAGGGTCTTTTCAAATGAGTCGGTTCTTCAACTGGTGGCCAAAGGATTGGAGTTTCAGCTTCAACATCAGTCCTTCCAGTGAACACCCAGGACTGATCTCCTTCAGGATGGACTGGTTGGATCTCCTTGCAGTCCAAGGGACTCTCAAGAGTCTTCTCCAACACCACAGTTGAAAAGCATCAATTCTTCGGCACTCAGCTTTCTTTATAGTCCAACTCTCACATCCATACATGACTACTGGAAAAACTATATCCTTGACTAGACGGACCTTTGTTGACAAAGTAATGTCTCTGCTTTTTAACATGCTATCTAGGTTGGTCATAACTTTCCTTCTAAGAAGCAAGCATATTTNTTTTTTTTTTTTTTTTTGACCACACTGCATAGCCTGCAGGACCTTCCTTCCCTGACCAGGGATCAATTGAACCCAGGCCCCTGCAGTGGAAGCTTAGAGTCCTAAGCACTGGACCACCAGTGAAATCCCTTAATATTTTTTTTAATTAGAGTAGAGTTGCTTTACAATGTTGTGTTAATTTCTGCTGTACAGCAAAGTGACTCAGCTACATGTTTACATATGTTCCCTCTTTTTTGGATTCCCTTCCCATTTAGGTCACTATGGAGCATTGAGTATTAGACACAGTAGGTTCTCATTAGTTAACTATTTTATACATAGTAGTGTA